GCGCCACTGATTTGACGCCTGAGCAAATCGAAGAAATTAGGCATCTCAAAAATAAGGTTCCTACATATATGATAGTGGGGGATTATCATATACGTAAAGAGCGCGTCCATGATATATGGAACAATTGTGAACGGTTGCAACAGAATAAAAAATATGAATTGGCAGAAATTCTTAGTACAGACAAAAAATCGAAACTTCGTACCCCTGATTCATCTCCAGTACATGAGTCTGTTGGTTTAAACAAACCGCAGGATAAGCAGAAAAAGAAAGCATCGGGGTCTAAGTCTATTCGTGTTTCTGATGATTCATCGGAAATAGTAGGTGGAGACTTAGAGGCAAAAAAAGATACAATAGATATATCACCTGATTCCTTTGCCTTGGCGCCTTCGGCTAGCGAATCGTCTTCTAGCCAATCACTTATTATTTTGCAAGATTCTGGAGATGTTTCGGAGATGTATAAGAAAGTAAATATTGAAATGAAAAAGGTTAGGACGAAGGGTCGCACTTTTACATCTAAATTAGCAACTGGGACTTAGCCTTACGACTATACAAATCGTTATAGTACCCTATAATTTCCAAATTCGTTTGGATACTGGTAAATAACATTTTTTCGAGTTCTTCATAGCTCATGCGTTTTTTTTTAATGTATCATCCTCGCTTGCTGTTAAGGCGCTTTGCAAATCCTGCGAGTCCTGCGAAATACAGTCCAGGGTTGAACATTCGGGAGTAGTGGTCGCGCAATTCACCTCGAGCTTGTTCTTGACCTTATGCATATTAATTGGGATAAAAAATTTCTTACCATTACACTCTAGTCTCAATTCTCATTTTGATGCAAGTAAATCATAATTATATTTGTCAAGAAGTGTGTTGGGTAAGATTAGCATCGGCTTAGGATACTTAACTACTGCAAAATCAGCATATATAGTACATCCGGGAGCGAAATTTACTGGGACATTTCTAACAATTCCAAGTGACTCTGTGGGAGTAGTAGCAATACCTCTGAGATCATGTTTTTCTTTTGTATCAATTTCTAGCTTTGATCGTTTAGATATATCCTCAGACATAATCGGAAAATTAGCGCCAGGATCAACCACGGCACCTGAAATGACCAGACGCTTTATTTTACACTTAGTAGTAACAACATCAGTGGCAGGATCTTTTTTCTGAACGAAGTCGATTTCCATAGGCTCATTTAAAATTTCGTCTTCTTCATCTGAGTCTCTTTCGGCTTGGTGTTGAGCTAAGACAGGTTCATATTTTTTAGCTTGCTGAATTATGTATGGAAGATAATTCACAAATTCACTCTGAATTATTTTGCGAATAGTTTCTTCTAAAGACACCCGCCTAGTACCTTGGCTACCTTTTTCTGATAAGACATTACAGGTAGATGGTGAGTTATTATCCTGCTTTACCTTATGAGACTTGGACTCATTATTAATTTTAGAGCTAATGGTCTCTCTCGAAATCTCGCTTGAGGACTTATTGGAATGCTGACTGCACTTAGCATACTTTACTTTTTTTTTCCATAATTTATGTACACATGCGTATCGTGTTTTTCAGAGTTCGAACCAGCTGAAGAATTATCAGAGTTATAATCATTGTCCTCAGGTTTAGATGCGTTATCATCAGAAAAAATGGGATTAGATTGTTCATCTGCTGTAGCCGTATGAATTCGTCCACTTCTGGATTTGGATTCCTTGACAAGTTTAGCTATTAAGGATTCGATTTGGTCTAACCTTTTTTCCAATCCTCCAAAAGGTGAGGATTCCGAGCGTTGACGCTGAGATGTTTTGGCACCTTTAGTATCTTTTCTGGCAAATTTGGCTAAGTTGGCTTCAATTTGTTCTATTCTTTTTTCCAATCCTCTATTATTATAGTCCGAGGATTCTGAATACCGATACCGAGCTGATTTGATATCTATGGTATCTTCTCTTATGAGATTGGTAAGTTTTGCTAAATTAATTTCGATTACTCCTAATCTTTTTTCCAATTCTTGATTAATATAATTATCAAAGATTGAAGCATTATTCGAATTAACTACATTTTCTGGTAGCTGTAAACGCTGGGCAAGTTTAGAATGCACCTGCATTGATTCTGCTAATTGTGCTTCCAAAGAAGCTATTTTGGTGTTTAACTTTTCAAAATCAGCGGAAGCGTACACTTGAGCCGGTTGTGCTAGTTGCGCCTGTAGAGATGCTATTTTGAAATTTAACTTATCGATTTCAGCTGGTGAATTATTCTGAGATGCATGTATATTTGGATTTCGCTCTAACCACAAATTTTTTAACTCTGTAAAGAATTCATTGATACCCGCAATTGCAGGATTAGCGGATCTCATCCATGTATAGAGATCACCCCAATCCGACAAATGACTTTTAAGAAATCCCACTATATTTGCATCATTATTTGGAATACCCAATAATAAAGGTCGAATTCTTTTTTCATATGTGTCAGGACTATCTGTAGAATGGAATTTTTCCTGGGCTAATTTCTGAATAGCCACTTGCTGGGTGCCTATATTTTCACGCTGATATTTAGAATTCATCCATGCTCGTAATCTTGCTGGAGTATCAATATTAGCATTTCCATTATATGGATCTTGGGCAGGAACTGGTATATACTTTCCTGCTAGCTTGGTTTTTAAAAGACCACATTTAATCGCATCATTAAAGTCCCCTGCATTGGCATTTTCAAGATCAGTCATATCTGGCTCTAGATGCACTATAGAATTCCAAATATTATCTAAGTATTCATCAGGAGGTTCCTGCCCTGTATATTGATCATGTTTAGCAAAAGTAGTTGCTATTATAGTATATAATGGTCGACGTCTAGCCTCTGCCATATTTCCTAATGGATTATTCTGAAGCGCCAAAATTTGTCCTTGCAAATTTAAAATATTCTGGTCTCTTTGCTTAATCACTAGCTGAAAGACAAACTTTTCACGTAGTAATTCACCAATATGGGTTTGTTTTCTTGCTATAATGACTAACATCCTATTTACCTGGTTTTGGGCATTAGTCTGCAACTGTCGGGTATTTTGCTGAAGACGGTTAGTATCTCGCTGATACAATAGCTGTTTAGCAAATTTTTCTCGTAATAATTCTTGGATACGCCTATCTTTATCCCGATATGAAAACATCTATCGACGGGATTCTTTTTTCTCATTATTATAAGCCAGAATGGCCAGATCCCGCTCTCCTTGAGCATTATCTCTTTCCCTTACAGTTCTTTCAGTCTGAGTTCGGGATTCATCTAATAAACGTTGTAATCGTAAATTCTGATGTCTACTATCATTTAACTCATTCCTATAATCATTTACCCGTCCATTTGTATCATTTAATATGTTCTGGTACTGATCACGCTCAACTGTGATATTTTGTAAAGTAACCCGAATAGTATTTAACGAGCCTCTGATACCATCTATAACATTGGTGGGATTCTGCATAGGCGTACCAACCCCCCTAATGTGATTTTCAATTCGATCTAATCCTCTATTAACATTTGCAATAAGATTAGTTGTTGCCATATCTAAAGCATTTATTGAGATTTTTTTATCTATGAGAATCTGGATTCTTGCTTTAAGGCTCCCAACCTTATTTTTGAGCTCTATGATTCGGCTATTTTGAATAGACCCAACCTCATCTTTGAATTTCTTATCCTGTTGTAAAACCCTAAGCTGTTTTTGCAAATCGGATATTTCTGATTTAAGTTTCTCTATCTCTTTCTCGTGAGCTATGATAGTATTATCCTGTATTGAGATAGTTCGATAACATTGCTCAAGCTCCTTCACAAGAGAATGAATTTTTTTCTCATTACTTTTATTATTGGAGATCTCATCCTGAAGCTCACTACGAAGCTCCTGGATTGTATCTAAAAGCTGAGAATATGCCGAATCAAACATGGTATTATTCAGCCCTGATTTATAGTACTATCATAATAATCCCTCCTTTTCTTCGCTAGTCGTTCAGTAAAGTCAAGTATACAAAATTTCTTGGCATTTCTTCTTTACTTCTGGGATAGGCATTTCTTTTTTCGAGTTTATGAGAAAAAGGAAGCGGAATGAGTCAGCCCCAAATTGTGATAGATCCATATGATGAGATTGTTCTTGTTTGTAGGCTTCTATATTATAATATACCAGGTTTTCACACCAATGCAAAAAAATTACATAAAGCATGTCAAGAGGAAGGATATTCTTTTCGAATACAGGATATTACAAAATGGTTAAAACACCAATATAATTCCCAAATCTATCGACAGCCATTACCTTGTAAAGCTGAGGCAAGTTTTTCAAAGATTAAGATTCTAAATAAAGTCCATCAATGTGATATATTGCTTCACACTTATGATCAAGATGGTGGATGGGTATTTGTTTGTACTCTCCTAGTTATCGATGTGGCAACACGTTTTAAAGATGGACGCTCACTAACATCAAGAAATAGCTTAGAAATCTGGATTGCGATTAAAGATATCTATGAAGATCCTTCTAACCCTCTTACTTGGCCAAAATTATTAATGACTGATGGTGATGCTTCGTTCCGAGGTGCATTTTCACGAGGAATGCAACAGTATAATGTTACAATACGTGTTGTTGACCTTTATAGTTTTGAGAGTCTGGCTTTCATTAAAGCATTTAAGAAAACAATAGCAAAATTAACATATAAGGTCCAATATGCTATAGAGGGGCGATTAACTGATGGGAAGCGATAAGGATATTTAAGAGGATCCTTAAGAAGTATATTGATTATTTGAATAATAGTAAAACTCGCCTTATTGGGATGTCACCAGCTCGTGCTATGACTTTGGAAGAAGTTGAATCAAAGCCTTCTAAAAAACCCAAGCGTGCAATCGGAAAAGATGAAGAGATAAAATTACAAAAAGGTACAGCGGTTAGATATCTGTTAAAAGCAGGCGAATTAGAAGGAGACCATAGACGCAGAGCAACCGATCCATATTGGAGCTTGCGTGTCTTTAAGATAAAAAGAGTTATTATTGGAAAAAATCCACCACAGCCCGTCTTATATTATCTTGAGGATGAACCCATTGAATCAACCGCTCATCTGATAGGACGAAATCCCAAAAGACCTTTTAAATATGAGGAACTTCAAGTAATCAAAGAACCTGATAAAATCGAATACCCGCCTGATGAATTTATGCGAAAATATCACCATACTGGATTTGTTCATTATGTTCGAGTAGTTGATGATCAATTAACCAAAGCCCATCAATATGCTGAAAAATGTGGTGGACTATGCCTTGAAAAGACCGGGCAAATAAATGGTCATGATGTATATCTTTGGTCTTGTGAAAATGATGCGCATCAATGGGAGTATCCATTAAAGTATATCATGAAAAAATTCGAATAGTGTCCTCTTTGCCACCATAGAAGTGGTGAACGCCAATGTCGATATATTTTTGAGGATCTACTAGGCAAGAAATTTCCATCATGTAGGCCAAATTTTTTGCATGGAATGCAACTTGA